AATTTTCTTATTTTCCTCACAAAAGTCCTAGTTGCGCCACTTGGGTATAGACACACTTTTAAAAATTATTTAAAGGGCTGTCGAATGCTTGCTGCAGCATTGGGGAAGGTATTGTCGATTATCTATCTTAAAAATTATATTTTTTCTCTAAAATAGACAATTTCTCATAAAAAACGGATGTTTTCATCGTTTTTATGAGACAAATAATTGGTAAAAAGTACAATAACATTTTCTAAAACTTGACGGGTTTGGAGATTTAAAAGTTCCACAAAAGAAGTTTTACAAATTTTTAAATCGTTAATTAAAAACATATTCTTTCCTTACACTATGCAAAGTGTTCACCCTGTGAGAAGATATGTTAAAAAAAACAAATTTTAAATCGTTCTTTGGGGTTCGTTTTTCCTTGATAGTTTCTCTTACTTACCCCCTGAGAAAAAATATTATTTCTAAATTTGACATTGTTTAACAGAAGGAATCTTTTACAGTATACTATTGAACTATTCACAGGTTTACAGAATTTGTTTGGTGTCAATTTTAAAGTTGAAAAGTTTTAGAAAAACGAACCAAATTAATGCCCGTCCCTATTGATACCCCCCTCAAGAAGTGAAATAAAACTGGACGAGTGGGAAAATTTAAGTTGCATAACATTGTATTGATAAAAAACGTAATTTGGAGGTTTTGCAAAAACAAAAACGAATCAAGGAACAAAACGTGTGCAACTTTTAAAAAAGCTTTTATTAAGCTTTAAAAAAGTTGATTTACGAATAAAAAATAGCAATTTCAGATATTTCTCTAAAGAATATATTCTAGATAATTTTGAATTGAAATTTACCATTTACCATAATTTTTTTTGATCAAAAGAAGCTCCCATGAAGTTTGAAAACTTTAAGCTATAAATACGACATGATGAGTATTAAAAGAGTCGCAATCAAGATTCAGAAAAAGATACTTAAGATGAAATAAATACTTCTACACATGACCTCATTTTTATCATGGTTTAATGAATTTCACAAATAGTTTTTGTTAAAGACAAGTGACCATGATGCTATTCGGACAAATTATAACAAATTAGTAATTAGTCTACCCTATAATAATAAAACAATTATTGGACAGTAGGGAAGGATTGGGAGGGGGGGGGGGG